ACTGACAGGGCAGCTAGGTGGCACAGTGGATAGAGTGCTGGCCCCAGAGTCAGGATGGCCTGAATTCAAAGGCCTCAGGCACTTAAGCTGTATAACTCTGAGCAAGTCACTTAACCGTGTTTGCCTCAGTTTCCTCATCTGTAAAATGAGCTGGAGAAGGAAATGACTAACCACTCCAGGATCTTTGCCAAGAACACCCCAAATGGAGTCACAAAGAGTCAGACACTGCTAAAATGATTGAACAATGCCAAATTAATTACCTTCTACATGAGACTTTCCCATTTCCCCCAACTCTAGTACATCTCCCTATGCCCCTATAGTTTGTGTATACATGTGTGGGAGTGTACCCATATTGTCTGCCTGATAAAATGTAAGCTTTCTGAGGGCAAGTATTTTCTCTTTTTTGCCATTATAGCTACGTGTGATAGTCCATGTATACATGTGTGACACAGGTAGTACATGTATATACATGCTTATGTAGACACGTGTTCTGTACATGTAAGCTCCTTGTGGTCAGGGACTGCTTTATTTTTGTCATTAGACCCCAGAAGTCTATGCCAGAGCAGCTACTTGATAAATATGTGTGGTTTGCATGATGTTTGGCCCTGGAGATGATCTTACTTAAAGGGTCCAAACTGCAAAGGCCTTGCTTCGGCTTCTTAGGGCTTGTCTTTCTTATTAATTTAATGCCTCAGTTCTCTCTCTCTCTCTCTCTCTCTCTCTCTCTCTCTCTCTCTCTCTCTCTCTCTCTCTCTCTCTCTCTCGTGTGTGTGTGTGTGTGTGTGTGTGTGCGTGTGTGTGCGTGTGCACACATGTTCCTCCCACCCTGGCCTTCAAGATGAACATGACTGTCATGAATACCAATGACTCACACTACCCTTGCTGCTTTTTTCCACATTATGGATATGATCAGCTGGGAAAAAATTGCTTATTTTTCTCTGGGCAAGTGGGATGTTATGACTATTTAATACGGGTATGGATGATCAGTCAAACTGCCTTCTTAATTTAGGGAATTAGAGTCTCTTCAATTCTCAATTAAAATTCAAAATTAAGTGAATGAGCATGCCTGTACAATTTTGAATTGTATTGGTTAAATCCAGTCTCTAGGAAAACATGTTTATTCCTCATGTCTCCATATACCAGAGACAATGCAGTCTCCTCCCTGGTCCATATGATCGACTCGTCTGTGCACCTATAGGACTTTGATGTTATTTCATCCACCTGTAGAGCTAAACTCTGCTGGGTCTTATCCCCCCAATTAGAGTGTGAGCTCCTTGGGCATAAGGACCGTCTCACTTTTTCTGTTTATCTCCAGTGCTAAATACGTAGGTGCTTGATAAATGCTTCTTGCCAGTTAGGTGGAGCAGTGCACAGAGCACCAGGCCTGGAGCCAGGAAGACTCACCTTCCTGAGTTCAAAGCTAGCCTCAGAGGCTTACCAGCTATGTGACCCTGGGCAAGTCACTTTACCCTGTTTGCCTCAGTTTCCTCATCAGGAAAATGATCTGGAGAAAGAACTGGCAAACCACTCCAGTATCTTTGCCAAGAAAACCCCAGATGGGGTCACAAAGAGTAGGACAGAATTGAAATGAATGAACAACAATAGAAGTTATTCATTTGTTCATGCATCAAGGCCGCTGGTAACACACGTGTACCTGCCCAGCCTGTGTGACTCTCATGCATGTGCTCCCTTAATTTTAGCATCCACCATGCTAGGAGCCTCTGTCTTGATTCCAAGTGGTGGGTGCTGGGAAATACCACCATTTTTGCTACCCAAAAAACTCGTAGTGATCCTAAGTCTTGGACTCAGCAGGAAACTAGTCTTTGAGAGTCAGTTTAAAAAAAAAAATTAATGTTATTGATATTGTTTGTAAATTGCCTGATGTTCTTCCTAAATCCCTCCTTCTCCCCCAAGAGAGCAAATAAAGAAGACAAGAGTGTTTAATTACCTCATCATGAAAAAGAATGGGAATCCTATTTCACTTACTAAAATGAGGAGAAAAATCATCGTGAGAATGTCAAGAGATTAGGCACTGTGCTTCCTTTCGCAAAGGCCGGTGGTACAGTGACCACAGCTGTTGTGTGGGAATCATTGTCAGCTGCAGTTCTCAAAGTCCGGGCCACAGGAGGGTGGTTGTGGGCAGGCCCTGTCTCCCTCCCTTTCAGTAATCCCCAAGTCCTCTCATCCAGACCCTTTGAGGGCAGAGGAACTGCTCGATGCTAAGCCTGCTTCCTTTCTTTCCTTTGGGGGATGGAGAGAAGGGGACAATATGGCAGGGCCTGAATCATTCAGGGGAAGCGTTCTCTCCAAAAAAAGAGAATGTGGCAGAGCCACAGTTGGTAAAATGACAATGTTTACAAGGAGACAGGTGATGGATTCATTTACCCCGTTCCAGGAGGCCTTTTCCAGGAGGCTTTCTGGACTTCTACCCACCCCCAAGTTCTTAACACTCCCTTGCTGTTGAAATGACTTTGTTTTCTCCTGTAGACACTTTGTATTGAGACCAGATCACAGAGTTAGAGCAAAGAGGGTATTTAGAAGTCCTCTACTCCTATACTTTCGTTTTACAGAGGAGTCTGAGGACCAGAAGCAGCGAGTGACTCACCCAAAGTCACCCCGGTCACTTAAGTGGCAGAGCTGAAATCTGACTCCAGGGCCTCTGACTCCATGTTACGACCTCTGAGTGGAATGTCAGCTCCCAAGGGATGGGACTGTTTCCCTTTTTTTTTTTTTCCCATCACCAGCTCCTGGAAGTGTCTCACACCTTGTTGTTCAGTTGCTTCAGTTGTATCTGACTCTTCCTGACCCCATTTGGGGTTTTATCGGCAAAGAGACTGGAGTGGTTTGTCATTTCTTCTCCAGCTCATTTTACAGATGAGGAAACTGAGGCAAATGGTGTTAAATGACTTGCCCAGGGTCACACAGCAAGTAAGTTTCTGTGGCCAGATTTAAAGTCAGGTCTTCCTGACTCCAGGCCCAGCACTGTGTCCACTGTGCCATATAGTAGGCATCTAATAAATGTTGGTTGAACTGAACTGAAGTGGACTATTTAAATGAAGCAGCTGAATCGGTGTGTTATACTTCTGTCTTATTTCAAGGAGGTCCTGGCGCATGTCCCTCTCCACAGAGACTACACTCTCTAGGCTTGAAGTAAGTCTGATGAGGACAGGTAAAGGCCAGGTTTCTGATTCTGAAGTCTGCACTCCTAACAAGGCTAGTCCTCAGACCACAGACACGTGGCCAGACTGCAGCCAGACACATGCTTGACGCCATTCCAGCTCAGTAGCAAAGCTTGCCAGAGCATTAGCCTGCTGGCTTATCCTTCAGAAGCTTGGCGTTACCCAGGCTCCATGATGGGGCAAAGGAGAGGAATCTATAATGCTTACAAATGAACAGTTTCTGCTGATGAGACAGCAGCACATAGTGGCTAGATCTAGCCTTGGGAGTGCAGTCAGGAAGAGCTGAGTTCAAGGCTTGCCCCAAATCCTTACTAGCTGTGTGACCCTGAACATACCAGAAGCTCTCTGGGCAACTCACTCCAGAAAAATCTCAGATAGTTATGACACACATTGAGAACAAGGGGAGGGGACAGAAAAATGTGACCTTTGGAGTACCTGCTGGCTCTAAATGTAGCATCTTAAGATGTAAATTCCTCAGGAAAATCCTATGTGGTGAAGAGGAAGGGCCACAGAAAGTAGGATCAAGAGCAACTGTGCTATGAATGTAGCCCCCAGCATCGAGCAAGCTGTTTGTCCATAGGCAAGTCACTTAATGTCTCTGAGGTGTGAGTGTCCTCATCTCTAAAATGGATCTATGATGGGTAGGAGACATCTAGCAGGAGCAATGGATAGAGTGCCAGACCTGCAGTCAGGAAGACTTGCCTCAGACATTTACTGTGTGACCTTCAGCAAGTCATTTCACCTCTGCCTGCCTCAGTTTCCTCATCTGTAAAGTGGGCATAATAGGAGCACCTACCTCCTAGGGTTGTTGTGAGGATGATGTGAAGTATCTTAAAGCACTACATAAAGGCTAGCTTTTATCATGATTATACCTGGGGTGAGTTCCTTGTGAGCAGTGAATGTTTCATTCTTTGTACTTTTAGGATCATAAATTTAGAACTGGAAGAGACCTTAAAGTTCATTGGCTACAACCACCTTCTTTTACAGATGAGGAAACTGAGGTAGACACAGGTTAAGTCATGCCTCTAGTAAGTGTCTCAGGCAGGTCTTCCCAACTCCAGGCCCAGTCCTCTGCCCAATAGGACTGTCATCCTGCTGCCTAACAAAGTGCCTGGCACATAACTGCTGCTCAATATAAACTTGTTATTTGAGAATAAAGTGCTTTGTCAACACTGAAGTCATATATCAATCTCAGCTGGAATTCTTACCTCGGTGATCCCACGCCCATTCCTTCACTTCTTTGGGTCATCTCAAGGGAATTGGACCAGTTTCTTCCTACTACACTTCTAACTTCAATTTCCATGAGCCAGTGAGCTCTCCAAGACAACAGAGTTTCAGATATATTAATGTAGTATTAATGTAAAAAAAATAGCCATTAGAACTATCCTGAGGTAGAGTGGGCTACCCTAGGAAACAGTGGCCTCCCCCTCCTTGGAGGGCTCCAAGCAGAAGCTAGAGGATCACTTCTCAGAGTTTATACAAAGAAGAAGACTTTTCAAACCTGGGCTGAATGTGATGACTCCGCAGTCCTTCTAACTCTGAGATTCTCTGACTTTTCCATTGAGAACATCTGCATGTGATCATTCAGTCATGGCAGGTCTTAAGAAAGCAATGTATGAAGTTGTTTTTTTTTTCCTTTATTAACGTGAGGCTTCTCTTCACTGATTGAAACATTTGCTTGTGAAGTATTTACTTTCTCATGTTGAATTTTTAAATATCAGTTCAGATTTTGACAGCTCATTTCACTTGGAAATAAATCATGCTAATTATTCTTTTGGATTTCTGGAGGATGCTGTTTCCCTCTGTAGGAGACAGTACGGCTTGCTCCTGAATGCATTAGAAGTCTTAGGTTCATTGCTATTTTCAGATGGAAAACCAAATTGTGTTTTCATCTTATGAATGTCAGTGTCTTAAACAACATCTGAAAGAATGACTAACCCCAGATCCATCATTCATGGATTCATCAGCAACATCAGCATGGAAGGAATCTCCAAGAGGCTTTGTGTTTGGCTCTGAGCTATTGAATATTTTAAATAATACCTTGAATAATGGCATAGATGGTGTTCTTAACTGAATTTGCTGATGATACAAACCTAGGAAGAATTGTGAATGACAGAATCAGGATTCAAAAAGAAATCTGAAATTAGACCTTTGAGCCAAAGCTAATATAACTTTCTTGTTTAGCATTTAAATTTCTTCTTAGCCTGACCCCTTCCTATCTTTCCAGTCTTCCTATGTGTTACTCCCCTCCACACACACTGCAGTACTGGCCCACTCATTGGCTCTCACTCATCTCCTACCTCCAAGGCATTTGCACAAGTTGGCCCCTGCCTGGCATGCTCTCTGTCCTCAAGTCATCCTCTGGGAATCTCCTGCCTCCTTCCAAGGCTCAGCTTAAATGCCACTTTCTGCAGGAAGCTTTTCCCAGGCCCTCCATCCACCAAAGCCTTTCCCTCTGAGGTCACTTTCCATGTGCTCTGTATATAACGGGCAGGTACCTATTTATACACAAGTCATTTCTTCATCAGAATGTGAGACCCCTGCATGGCATGCCAGCCACAATATTGCACACCTCTATTAGCCTTCAGTCAACATGAGGATGAACTTAGTAAGAACAAAAGATGATGAACATTAACAGACCTGAACAAAAAGTACCTCGTGCCAGGTCATCGTTACTTTTCTCTCTTCCTGAGAGGAAGGAAGAACAAGAGAAAGGAGGAGGTGAGAGGAAGAGGGAAGAATAGAGGGAAAGGGAAAGAGTGGCAATGTAAAAGGAGGAGAGAAAGGGAGAGACAGGGGAAGGAAGGGAGAATGGGAAAGAGTGGCAGAGGAAAAGAAGGAGGGAAAGAGAGAGATAGAGGAAGGAAGGGAAAGAGATGAGGAAAGAGTAGGAGAGGGAGAAGTGAAGAAGAGAGATTGAGGCTGAGAGGAAAGGGGGAGGGATAGAGAGAAAGAGAGGGACAGAGGGAGAAGGTGGTGGAGTATATTGCTTATGTGATGTGTTATTTCTGTGGTAAAAATTATACAAAGAGTTGAAAGGGAATATAGGGGATGAGGTGGGGACAGTTACATGTGAATGGGTCATTATTTATCTAAATACTTGAATGAATCGGTCATCAGCCTAGAAACTTTAAGCAACAGCGTATAATATAGTTATAAACTCATAACAATTTGAGAAACCATTAAGGAGGGAAAGAAGAAAGAAGGGAAGAAAGGCATTAACTGAAAAGGCTTATGATGATCGGACCACTTAGAAGATAGACCTAAATCAGATCCCAAATTACTAGCTTAGATATTCACTTGTACTGTGAAACTAATGCACCCTAAATATGCTTAACTGATGAACTAAACTAAAATAAAAGAATTAAGTTAAAATTAGCTAATGCAAATGTTAGCAAAGAAGATGATGGTAATAATAATCATAATGATGACGATACCAACAATAATTTATACATGTATAGCATTTTAGGGCAGCAGGGTGGTCCAATGGCTAGAGTACCTGGCCTGGACTCAGGAAAACACCTCTTCCTGAGTTCAAATATGGTTTCTGAAACTTAGTAGCTATGTAATCCTGGGCAAGTCACTTCACTCTGTTTGCCTCAGTTTCCTCATCTATAAAATGAGCTGGAGAAGGAAATGGCCAACCACTCTAGTATCTTTGTAAAGAAAACCCTAAATGAGGTCATGAAGAGTAAGATAGGACTGAAAAACAACTCAACAACAAAATAGCATTTTAAGATATACAAAGCACGTTCCTGTAACCTGTGACAGGTAGACATGAATTATTAACCCCATTTTAGAGATGAACAAACTGGGACTGAATGATCTTAAATGACTTGATTGTCTACACAGATACTGACCGGATGTAGGATTTGAACCCTAATCTCCTGACTACAATACCGCTTCCTTCTGAAACACAGATAATTCTCAAACAGCTATGAAATTGGGGGGGAAAGGCTGCGAGGGTCATAAGAAAAAATGTAAATGAAAAATATAGTCATGCTAATTATAATTGACATCATAGGTTGTAAATCTACACCCGCATAGAACCTTAGAGGACATTATATTTATGTATACATATGTGCCTCCTGATTTTACATAAGAGAAAACAGACCCAATGAGCTTAAGAAACTGGCCTGAGATCTTACATGGAACAGAGCTAGAATTTGGGCCTACGGTGTCTAACTCCAAATCCAGTATCTTTCCTCCATCCTCCTTTAAAAGTGACCAAGTGCTTTACAGGCACCAGCCCCATATCTTGTTTCTGGCGTTCATTCTGTCTCCCTCCCAGATTCACAAACTGACTTTTCCTCCCCTGCCAATGGGCAGTGAAGTGTGCCCCAAGGGTTATCTGTGGGATAAAAGGGGGAGTGACTCTGGGGAGCCTGGAATATCCACTGACATCCTAATAAGCTCTGGAATGATCAGGATTTGGCTGAATCCCCCATTCTCTCATTTGTTAAAAACTGTCACCAATTCAAGCAAATTTACATGTGAATATTAAGGGCAGAAGAAAGAGTAATTTTTAATACTTACTCCAGATTACTCTGCCAATGACTGACTCTGCCATATGTCTCAAAATGTAACAAGTGGAAGAAAAAATGAAAACCACATCACCAACCACTCAATGTCCCAAAACCTTAAGAGCCAAGCTGACGGCCCCCTCATGGAGAAGGACAGGTTGGAGAGAGATGCAAATCTGGGCTATATCTTCCCTTCCATCTAGCGATGGCCTGGAAATCTCAGGAAGAAACTGGCTGTCATGAACGATGGATAAGGGTATTACTGCCAAATAGAGAACTGAGTTGTTCAGAGCTGCTAGGCACAAAAGGTCTTAAGTTTAGAATTAAACAGGACCTTACAGGCTAGCTACTTCAATGCCCTCCTTTTACAGATGAGGAAACTAAGGCCCAGCTAAGTTAAGTGACTTGGCCAATGCCACACAGACAGTAAGCTTAAGAGGCAAGATTTGAAGGCAGCTTCTCTCATTCCAGGGTCAGTTCTCTGTTTTTATGAGGGGCTAAGACAATATTATCTGAATAAATATGGTTTGTCATGATATTTTAAATATAACATTACTGGTGACTATAAATTAGTTTCTGTGATTTGGGTGGTCTCTAATATGATCCTAATAGTGTTTATCAAATATAGTCTCCATTGCTAGATAGAGCACTAACAACCCACTTAATATTTACGGCCAAAATATTTCACAAAGATATGAATATCCATCACACCTATACATATTTAAGAGTACCCCTATTCAGGATCCAATTGGAAGATGGAGTTCTGTAGATGATGGGGTCTTCCAGTTGTTCTTCTTTGAGAATGATATTATGTGCATTGTACCAGATCCCAGGATATTAAAGTCTCCTCTGTGAGAGCCACGGTTTCTCCAAAGAAATTAACCTAGTCATGCACATAGAAAGAAAAATAAAACCAAGCAAAATGAAAAAAAAATGCTGCCTGACCAAATTATGAGTTGTAGTTGGGAGGTCAGTATTGAATCAGTATTAAATTAGTATTTCAATACATATATTTAAGGCAGTAATTGAAATGAGCAAAGAGTTAGCCCATAATTGAATGGAAGTGTAGACTGGAGTGCATTTAAGAAATTGCTCAATGTTGCAATTATCATGTACAAAACTCTATCTTTTTAATGCAAATTTACTTCTGATGCCCTTGTTGTGAATCTTGAAATACCAAAATCTTGGAACAACCAAACCTGGAAGCAATGGAGCAATTCATGGTTGATATAAATAGAATAAAATATGCTTCCTTTGCTGACCTATGGTCCAAGGAATTATATGATATCTTCATGAAAATATATGGTCAGAAAAGAAAATGAGTCAGTTATGGAACAAAAGTAAAGGACAGCTCAAGCACTTTCCTGATACCACCAAAAAAAAGAAATACACAAACACATACGGGCACACACACACACACACACACACACACACACACACACACACACACACACACACACGGGGGCAGGGGGGAGCAGGGATTCTTAACCTGAGATCCATGGATCCCCTGAATCTCAGGGAGCTGATGAAAATGAACTCAGAAAAAAAATATTATCTTTGTTTTCACTAGCCTTTGGTTTTCTTTGTAGTGATAATGTATTTATTTCATTATATATAATTTTATAAAATGGTATTCTGAAAAGGCATCTATGAGCAAGTTCAGCCTGACAAAGGGGGCCATGACATAAAAAAAAAATCGGAACCACAAATCTAAAGTAAGGAATCAATCACATTTGGTATATTGTCTGAGAATCTATGGGAAAACAGGGTCAAGAGTAGCATAGGAAAGCATAAACTGTGGATGTATTCTGATCTTTAATGTGGCTGAAGGAATATTCATGTCCATGAGATCACAGTTCCTCTGAAGCAGCTATAGACCCAACTAAGTCAATTTAGGGGACATTAGCTCTTCATAGGGCACAGAGATGGTTCAAAAAATGATTTCTGGTTTGTCTTTCCTTCTATAAGATGGATATAGGGGCAGCTAGGTGGCACAGTGGATAGAGCACTGGCCCTAGAGTCAGGACAACCTGACTTCAAATCCAGGCTTAGAGACATAACACTTACTAACTGTGTGACTCTGGGCAAGTCACTTAACCCCAATTGCCTCACCAAAAAAAAAATGGATATAATCATAGCTTTCAGATATCGAGTCATCTCTGAGCATAGGAAAAGAGGAAATACATAGAAAGACAACTGTTTCAAATCTCATTTGAAAGAATGTAATCCATTTCCCTTGCATTCATTTCATTGAGATTCTGATTACAAGAAAGGGTATCCTAGATAAAGAGCTAAGAGTTTGTTTCAACATGAGTGCCTCCAGATATGCTTTTATGGCATGCCTGATTTTTGTAAGTAAATATAACCTTTTCTGTTAGTTCACTAGCCATTTCCTTATTACTAAATAAGAAACTGGAAATAAATGCTTATATCATGAAACTTTAGGGTTCCATAGTTACCCTAATTATCATATTCTCGAAATACAAAAGACAAGAAAAAAAAAGAAAGAAAGAGAAAAAAAAAGAGATGAGGATGATTTCAACTATGACCACGATTTAGAACTATATTTATTTACTTATATAAGGGGATGGAAACCAGGAAAAAAATCAATGGCTTTACTTTTCCCTGCTATTTACTTTGCTATTGTGTCCTAATTAAATGTTTTCCCATTGGAATTATGAGTTCTACATGATATTAGTTGAGTAGGCACTGGATAGGAGACTGGACCATATATTAACCCAATATTATGCCCAAGGCAGCTCAATGGATAAAGTGTCATTCTGAAAGCAGAAAGATTCATTTTCATGAGTTCAAATCTGTCCTCAAACATTCATTAAGTATGTGATGCTAGAGAAGTCACTTAACCCTGCTTGCCTCAATTCCTTATCTGTAAAACGTGCTGGAGAAGAAAATGGCAAACCGCTCCAGCGTCTTTACCAAGAAAACCCCAAGTGAGGTCACAAAGAGTTCAACATGATTGAAACAACTGAACAACCTCAATATTGAGCCCAGAAACATATGGAGATCCCAGATTGAATGAAATACAAGGTTTATAATTATTTGGAAGTTATTAGAACTCAAAAGAGTTCCAGCAAAAGAAAAAATATTGCATGTGCCCAGCTCCAATATACCTGCACAAATGTATTAGGACTGTGATTTTTTACAAACAACAGGCTAGGAATTCAACTAAGTTCAATCAAACCAACATTTACCAAGTACCTTTTATCTGCAAAGTATTATGCTGAAAGCTGAGGATACAAAGTCGTAAATGAACCTATGCCTTGCGTTCAGGCAGTAAGAGTTGAGCAAAAAGAGAGGACCATACAAAAATAAATGTACTTGTTAGAACTGAGAAAAGCACATTGGGAAGGTCAAACAGTGAGGCAGGAGAGATAACAATAGAAAAAGATCTCCTCTAGCTGGGGAAACTAGGGAAGGCTGAATGAGAGTGGCAACAATTGATAATGGCCTTGAAAACAGAAGAAAGTTCAAATGGAGATGTGTATGGAGGGACTATATTCCAAATATGGCAGAATAGCATCTATGAATGTGTAAAGGCAGAAGAGGGAATGATAAGAACAGTTCAGTGTAGCTGCATTACAGAATGCATAATGGGAAATTGTTATGAGATAAATCAGGAAAGATGGGCTGCAGCCAGAATGCAAAAGACCTTGTTTGGATAGCAAAGAAAATGAATTAGAGACCCTAATACACCAGCTATTCACAAGTATCACTGATGAACAAAGGCAAACAGATCAATCATAAATACAAAAGTGTGACATGATCCCAAGAGTTCTGAACTTCAGAATCACAAAAAAAACTAGCAAAGAAAGTCAGGAACAATGGAAAGGAATTTCCTCCGGCTATGTTGGGGAAAAGAAGAGAATCTGAGATGGGATGGGACCATAAATGGGGTGGATAGGAGAGTGACAACTGATAGGGGGAAGAGGTAGAGCTTGTGAATTCTCACTTTGTTTCTGTTGCTTCTGCTAAGGAGGGAAATCTTGGGAACAGAAAAGATGAATCATAATAGCTTATAGGAATTGATACCTAGAATAAGTAAGGAACAGTTGGCTGCCCTGGGATGAGTTCAAGTCACCCAGCACTTAGCACAATTCATGGAACATAGTAGGTGCTTAATAAATGTTCATTGATTGAATGGCCCACATGAATTACATCATATGGTACTAAGAGAACGGGCAGGTGAGATTTGGCAAATTGCACCACACTCAACAATCTGATGAAAGTTCATGGAGAGACCAACTCAGTAACAAAAACAAAAAAATATATAATTATCTCAATAGACACAGAAAAAGCTTTTGACAAAATCCAACATTCAATCTTATTAAAAACACAGGAAGGCATAGAAATAAATGTTGCTTTATTTAAAATGGTAAATAGTATCCATCTAAAACCACCAGCAAGCATTGTCTATAGTGGGAATAAGCTAGAAGCCTTTCCAATAAAATCAATGGTGAAACAAGGATTCCCATTACCATCACTATTATTCAATATTTTACTAGAAATGCTAGCTATAGAGAAGAAAAAGAAATTAAAGGCATTAGAATGGGCAATAAGGAAACAAAACTATCATTCTTTGCAGAAAATACAATGGTATACTTAGAAATTCATAAAGCATCAACTAAAAAACTAATTGAAATAATTATCAACTTTAGCAATCATCAGCATTTCTATATATTACCAACATAGTCCATCAGGAAGAGATAGAAAGATAAATTCCGTTTAAAATAAATGTGGATAATGTAAAATATTTGAAAGTCTAGCTGCCAAGACAAAGCCAGGAACTATATGAACAGAATTATAAAATGCTATCCACACAAATGAGCTGAGATCTAAACAATTAGAAAAATATTAATTACTAACAGTTAGGCCAAGCCAATATAATAAAATGACAATTTAACCTAAATTAATTTACTTATTCAGTGCCATACAAATCAAACTACAAAAAATTCTTTTGGAGCTAGAAAAATAATAACAAAATTCATCTGGAAGTACAATAGGTCAAGAATATTATGGTAATAAATGGAAAAAAATTGTGAAGAAAGGTAGTACCAGATGACAAATTATATTATAAAACAGTAATCATCAAAATAATCTGGCACTAGCTACTAAATTGAGTGATAGATTAGTAATACAACAGACAGTAGTAAATGACCATAATAACCTAGTGTTTGATAAATTCAAAGATCCAAGCTTTTGGAACAAGAACTCATTATTTGAAAAAAATACTGGGAAAACTGGAAAACAGTTCAGCAAAAACTAGATACAGACCAACATCAAACACCATACACCAAAATAAAGTCAAAATGGCTTCCTGATTTAGATGTAAAAGATAATATTCTAAGCAAATTATGGAAACGTCAATATCTTGCCTATTTGATTTATGAAACAGGGAAGAATTTGTGACAAAATAAAAGATAGGGATCATTACAGGAAGTAGGATGGATAATTTTGATTACATCAAATTTTAAAAAAAGGTTTTTCATAAACAAATCCAATACAACCAGAACTAGAAGAAAAGCAGAAAACCGGGCATGGGGTGGGATTTTTATAGCTAGTTTTTCTGATAAAGTCCTTATTTCTCAAATATGTAGAGAAATGAATCATTCTCCAGTTGACAAATGGTCAAAGGGATATGAACAGGCAGTTTTCAGAAGAAAGCTATTTATAGTGACATACACACACACACACACACACACACACAAAATGTTCTAAATCACTATTGATTAAAGAAATGCAAATTAAAACAACTCAGACCTTTCAGAACAGTGAATATGACACAAAAAGCAAATGACAAATATTGTAAAAAATACGGAGAAGTTGGCACACTAATGCACTGTGGGTGGTGGTGTGAATGGATCC